TTTGTTATTTTATTTTTTTTTTTATTGATCTTAAGCTTCGGCAACTATGGCCATTAGCTGTTATTTTGTTATTCTAGGCGCTTTTAAAACTATTGGAATTTTAAATTTTGACCTTCTGAATGAACCAACTATATTCACTTTCCAATCGATCGAGATAGGTACTGTTGAAAAAAATCGAAGCTGTTGCACTGCCCCAAATACGGTGATGACAGAAACAAAAAAAAAATAATTTAAAAATGTATAAAATCATCCACACATCGCTCCTCTCAGAATCTAAAAAAAAATGGTTACATCTTTCTATTTTAGAATTTTGGATACAAATGTATTTTATTAGTGGCTTAGAATGCCTTAGACGACAGGGGGTGCCCGAGCACCCATAGCCCCCCCCTGAATCCGCGCCTGAATATTTAAGTATAAAGTATTTTTATAGTACCTATACCAAACAAAAAAAAAAAATCACACATTTAAATGGTTTATTTGATAAGCAAAACACATAATTAGTTCAGTGAGAAATAGTTACTTAACAAGATTATGAACAATAAAGTTCACTTCTTGTTAACAGCGATAAAATTAATGTTATTTTATTTCCCGAAAAACGATAAAATCGTAGTCGAGGACATATTTTATTGTGCATATTAATATATTACAATTTTCTACTAACTAAACATTATTTTACAATTTTATTAGATTTCGAAATCAGTATATAATTTAATTTCACCTAAATAATATGCATTATAATATATACAATTTTGTTGAAATTTGCAAAAAATATGTACCTACCTACCTAGTACTCGTCAAATATGCAAAAATATGCATAACATAGATATTGCTGTTACTAGCTACGATTCGTAATATTATAACTGAAAAAAGGTGCTCTGCTGTACAGTAGGTTACAACTTGGTCACTGTATATAATGGATAGTATTAAATTTTAATTCAATGATATAATATAATTGTATATAAAAAAAAAATTCTGAGCGGAGACGGTATGTCAGTCTAGGTATAAGACATATTATATATTTATCTATCGAATTAAAAAAAATTGACCTAAAATAAGTACCTACAATAAATTCAAAGTTAATAATATCGCAATATCCATTAGGTTCTTATAAAGCGTTATACGTCAACAACAAACCCTGATACTATCATAGTCATCTAGTGCTTCCATAGATATATAATAGTGTACTTTAGAATTTCTAAGATCCCACGAATAATATTACACAATCACAACAAAATAACTAAAATATTTATTCTAGGTTTTTTTTGTCCAAAATTTTGTCCAAAATTGAACTTAAAATGACTATAAAAATTAACTGTGCTTATATATTTTTTAGATTTTTTGGTAACAGAATTAAATACTTATGTGGAATTTCGTTTTAAATGTTCAATCCTTAGATATAAAAGTTGAACATTTTATACATTTTTAGCTACAAAATAATTATTCAATTTTAAATTTGATAAATTTTGTCAAAATTCGATCTTTAAATGCTTATAAAAAAAAATTGTGAATATGTATTTTAAATATTTTTCAACTGATATTGTAACAATATATTAGGAGCCTTGTATTAAATTTTTACACTTTTTGGCAAAACCGATAAAACTTTATTGATATTTATAGAAAAAAAACTAAAATAATTGAAAACTGAAAATGTCCCTAAAAAGCTCAAAAAAAAAATCAAAATATTTTCAAAATTGTATGGTGTATAGGAAATGCTAATCTAAAAATTCAGTAAAAATTACATGTATCTACAGTTATTCGTTTTTTAATTACAACAAAATAAGGAAATCGCTACATGAGAAATCGAGTGAATATCCAATGTTGTAAAAATTTGAATTTCAAACGCTCATAAAAATTTAATTTGACTTTCTTATAGACATTTTTTTTTTTGATAAAGGTATATAATCTTATAAGGAATCTTGTATAACATTTTAAAACCTTAGATTTAAAAAGAAAAATGTTTACGAATTCTTAACTCAAAATAATTTGATAATTTTCGTGATTTTTCCATATTTTGTCAATTTTTGAACTTTAAACGCTTATAAAAAAAAACTGTGACTAAGGATTTTTAATATTTTTTGAATGCCATTGTAACAATATATTAGGAGCCTTGTATTAAATTTTCAAGCTTTTTTAACCAACAAAGAAAATTTTATTAATATTTTTAGAGAAAAAACTAAAAAAAAATGGAAAATGAAAATTTGCCTAAACAGTTCAAAATAAATCAAAACATTTTGAAAATGTTATAGTATATAGAAAATGCAAATATAAACAACCAGTGAAAATTTCACTTATCTATAGTCATTTGTTTTAAAGTTACACCATAAACCAAAATCGATTTTCTTGAAAACAGATTTTGCGTAAAAATTCCCGTTTTTCCTTAATTTTTCTTTTGTTTTTCACGGCCCTTTTGAAAACTACTGTCAAAATTTTACTTTTGATCCCCCAAAGTACCAACTAGATTCACTTTCCTATCAGAAAAGATACTGTTGAAGAAAATCCAAGCATATTTACTGTCCTAAAACGTGATGACAGACACAAAAAAAAATTTAAAAAAAACACACATCATTGTAAAATCAATACATTCATCGTTCCACTCAGAATCTAAAATACCTAGATACATGATTTGTTCACAGAATGTTCCTATTAGCATTTTCTATACACAATACAATTTTAAAACAATTTTACTCTTTTCGAGCTAGTTAAAGGGATATTACATTTTAATTTTTTTGATTACCTAGTTTTGTTTTGAAAATTATTGTCAATAAAATGTTCTTTGCTATGTCAAAGAGTTTGAAAATGTATTACGGGCATCACATTATAGTTTCGATAATATCTGTTCACAAATATAAGAGATACATACCCTCTATTTTTTATAAGCATTATTTAAAGTTCACTTTTCGACAAAATTTGTTTAACAGTTTGCAAATCATTTTGTAGTTAAAAATGTTCAATTGTATATTTAGCTTATGCTTACAGTAAAAATTGATACAAATTGATCATGATAATATTAATTATCAAATTGAATTGAATATGTAAATTATTGGTTTACAGGTCGTCAAATCCGTTTCCGTTTGCAACGAGAAAAGACAAACTTCTTTAAAAAAGAGTTTGCAATTACCAAAAAACTTCGTTGGCTGTTATTAAAATTCTTCAACTATCAACAATTTACATAATTGATGAAGACTTTTAAATTAGGTATATTCTAATAGGTAGGTACCTATTTCCTTTAATTTGTGTACTTTTTTTTCCTATGTTTCTCCCCCCCCACAAATAAAAAAGTAATTACTTTCTTTAACCAATAAAAAACTAAACCTATACACTGTGGAGTTATGTTTGTGAATAAAATTATTTTGTCAATGAATAATTTAAGAAAACTCTATTTTTAAATTTTATAATAAAACAACTACAACCTATTAGGGAGTTCATTGTGTAATTATCGAGACATCTAAAAATATAATATAAATAAAAATACATTGATATAAATACATCTTATTGTGACTCCATTAACTTATCGCATTATGTATCAATATCCCATTCCATC